ATCCCTCAGACGGGATTGATTAACGCCAAAAACTTTATCCTTTTATCTCTCTCGAACTAGATTCTGCCCTCGAAAAAGACGCAGCATCACTTGGAGCGTTCCGCACAGGCTACAGAAGGCATCACCCCTTGGAGCTCCAAATATAAATTGTGAAATGGGGGAGGGCTCTGAGATGAATCTCAAAAAAATGTAATGTAGGCTAAGGATAGTGGCAAAATGAGGACAATGGACCCTGAAAGGGTCACCGTTGCTCCACAGGAAAGAAGGTTTCCTCTTGAAGAGTTTTATAAATCCCACTGCTCAACGCCCAAGCGGACCAGCTCGTGACGATGATCGCATAAAAGCTTGTGAATAAGGTCAAAATGGTCCTAGGAGCCTATGGTCATAATGAAAAGGATAGCAACTTTAATACTCGTAGCGTAAAGTACAGGGGTCATGGTGTGTGCCTGGATGCGTACGTACGAAATCGAGTCTTGTCTTAGACTATACGTTCTGCCCTTACGTTGCTATTCTCGGGAACTCACATGATGTCTGAGACTGTCCAGTAATCTTACCCATGATTCCCATACTGTTTGACAGTCAAACTAATCAAGTAAAAGATCTTCTCTATCGATAGATCAGACATAGAAGGACACTTTCAGAAACGCTTCCTTCGAGCTCAACAATTTTGCCGTGACATACACCATACCCAGGAATTCGCCTAAGTTCAAAAAGCTTTACATCAGTATTCAACTAGAGGGCTACTATCTATCATTTTTGTCGAGTCAGTACACCTGTCCTTCTCTCCGTAGACTGTTTTTCTCTCTGCTAGCATACACATGCACATAAATATTTATTATTGAGAAGGAACAATTAAGATTAATATATCCAGTTGAATATTATTATTGGGGAAAATAATTAAGATTAATTTATTAATACTACGTGAAATTTCGAGTTCCCAGTATGCCATCTTTCTTGATCGTGGCTTCATCCGCATCCACATGGAGTAGGTGGAGGGCTGAAATTGCCAGAAGAATGTTGGGAGTAGAAAAGCTCCTTAATTGAACTGTCCCCTTACCAGCAGCAGCTACTACCACCTCCGAAAAGGAATCCGCAGCCGTTGACTTCAGATGCCAATAAAATGATGACGAGCAGAAGGAGGAGCAGATATTTGAACATTCTGAAAAATATCGTAGAATTTTCTGAAAAGCCTTCAATGGAATAAGAGTAAGCAGGTGGTTAAGCATCTGAAACAAACAATTGCATCCTTTAATGGTAACAATTGTTCGGAGGTGGGAAGTTAGAAAGGTTGGGGAAGTTTTGAGACTTAATGAAAAAGGAGCTGAGATGCGATGTTTCCTCTGAATTGCACCTCGCCTTTTATAATTCCCCACATACTGAAAAGCCCACTCTATATCAGGTATCTGAGGCTGTGTGCTAGACTATTTGTCGGTTTTTGCCGAGCAGACAGGAATTTCATGTGTGCGCCAGATTTCTTTTCTCCGTCTGGCTCGGCTTTATTCAAAGATCTCATACATCATGCGCTCGCCATCTGAAGCATCAGACACTGCACCGATATCTTTTTACCAAATGGGGTGGATTGGATAAGAATCCCAATCGGCATACCTTTTCAACCTCTTTCAAGCTCGTTCTTTTATCCTTTGAGAAATACCTTAACTAGCATCATCTGTATCACCTGTTGTGCCGTTAATCACCAATTTCTTTGAGCTTGCGCTGGCATTCGTCTCCATTCGTCTCTGTCGCAAGCCAGGGTCGTCCAGTAAATCGTACTCGTTTGATAGACCCGGGTAAAACATTCCTTTCGCTCAGGGCTTCCATGAAGAAGTCTGATTATTCTGTCGCTGGCGGCCGTCCTGGTATACGTTCGTCGTCCCGAGGACTTCAGTAAGTAACCTCCCGATCACACCGCCATCACTATATCGCATGACGGGCCCGGCCTACCTGATTTTCGATTTCTTGGCGTATTCAACACATCCCTGATATTCGTCCATCGACGGAGCCCGGAACTCTTGATTTCCTTCTGCAATTGCGTGTCTAGGTAAATGCCAGGCATGGTTCTTTCCATAGCGCGTTAAATTTGCTGACAGCATGCTCATCCTGCTTCCGTAAAATCCAATTCTCTGAGGTGTATGTTAAAGCAGTCAGGACAGCAGTGTCGAAAAGGTGAGCGCGGAGCCGGACGATTTTCGTCTTCTTCACTCCTCCCTCGATATTCATAGATGCTCCCCACTCCGAGATCAGACAGTCAAGAAGACAAAGACAAGGTCTTTATGAAACCTCAATCTCGTTTTTCGTTCCCAAACCAAAACGGATTACAGCTCTAGCACTATTCTCTACCGATACCTAGGCGAGAGGAGCTGGAAAAAGTTGAGCCCCTGTGTAACACATTAAGCCAGAAGGAAGTGAGACCTTTTGAGGTCGGCTATCACGTGCAAGCCGTTCTAGTCTTCGTCGAGCTGAAATCGCTCTATTCTATGAACAATCCTAAGGATTTTATCAATTACCCTTGGGAACCTCGAGCATTTGCAAGCTTCTCGTTTACTCTAAACATCGTCCTCGGTATAGCCAATGACTGAGAAGCCGAAGCAGACGCTTCTTAGCCATCGTCCAATTCTAAAAGTTTTGCAGTACGATTCTTTCGCTTGCGAGACTGCAGCGCTCCCTTACCAGGGACCTTATGAAGTTGAACTAAGGACACGACTTTTACTGAAAATGCCATCCAACCTTGTAGCTTATGAAATTNTGCCACCTTCCTTGACCGTGACTTCATCCGCATCCACATGGACTAGGTGGGGGGCTGAAATTGCCATAAGAATGTTGAGATGTAGAAAAGCTCTTTCACCGAACTGTCCTCTTACCAGCAGCAGCTACTGCCACCTCCGAAAAGGAAACCGCAGCCGTTGACTTCAGATGCCAATAAAATGATGAC